TTAATAATCGAATCTAATATCTAATGCGCTATCTGATAATCGAATCTAATATATAATGCGCTTTCTAATAATCGAATCTAATATCTAATACGTTATCTAATAATCAAATCTAATATCTAATACGCTATCTAATAATCGGATCTAATATCTAATGCGCTATCATCTAATACGTTATCTAATAATCGAATCTAATATCTAATACGCTATCATCTAATACGTGCACCTTCTCCCTGAGAGATTCGAGCGACAACGCGACACTACCAGCTCGTTAATACTCCGTATGGAGACGCGACACTCTCGTGACAATATTGCTAGTGTCGCGCGTCAACATGCCGTCGACGACGTTGACGCGTTGATTTCTCGGCAGTGCGACGAACACCCGCCCGTACTGAAGTTGGCCCACGGAGCAACCGTCGGCGGAACAGATATACAAGCATGTCAGTGGATAAAGAACTAGGAGCGAGTAGCGAAGTTCAGCCTGCAGCGGAGAGCATTGTGTTGATGAATATCACGCGGAATTCTACGGCCGATGCTAGCGTGAGTATTTGCATGAATGTTTTTCGTGTGCAGGCATTCCCGTAGTCGTTACACACATAGTACAACACGTCGCACATAGCACAGTGCACAGTGCATAGTGCATAGTGCATAGTGCATAGTGCATAGTGCATAGTGCACAGTGCGCCGTTGCATAGTGTCGTGATCACTTATTTGCGGTAGATTTTTTTTTACACCGACGAGATCTCGCAGCAGTAGAAACGGCAAGACTGATAATTGGTAATATAGGTACCGTATCAGCAGAAGCAGCACCAACAACAGCAGTAGCGGCCGCAGCAGTAGCAGCAGTAGCAGCAGTAGCAGCAGTAGCGGTAGCAGCAGCAGTAGTAAAAGTAAGAGTAAGAATAAGAGTAAGAATAAGGAGTAAGAATAGGAGTAAGAGTACAAATAAGAGCGAGAGTGAGATTGAGAGTGAGAGTGAGAGTGAGAGTGAGAGTGAGAGTGAGAGTGGCAGTGAAAATAATCGTAAGAGTAAGAATACGACAACAAAAACAACAACAACAACAACAAC